CGGGCCCGCTTCCCCGCCGGCCCTGGAGACGGCGCTCCGGCGAGCCAGGCGGCAACTGCAGGAAAACGTTTTTCTCTGGCAGCGGGCGCTGGCGGTCGCGTTGGGCGCTCTGCAGGCGCCCCGGCCCCGCGGCGCGTTTGCGGTGCTGCGAGGTTATCCGCCGCGCCGCTGGCTCCCGTTACCTCCTGTCCTTTTGTCCTGTCGTTTTTCCCCTCTGGTCCTTTGGCCGCTTAACCCTGTTTAGGTAACATTTACAGTGAAAGTCAGGCGTGCGGTATGAGGTGGAATATATTTATTGGTAAGGATTAACTGCTAAAATCCTTTTGAATAGAGATGCGCCTTTTCCAAACCGTTTAGCAGTGTTTTCCGCTCAGCCTCCGCGTGCTCATCGTCACGGCCTGAGCTTTTGCAGGCGCTGCTCTCCGCGTTTATGTGCCTCTTCCTCTCCACGTCAAATTTGCTCAGGCGCTCTTATTTCGCTTACCTTTTACCCTCAGAGTCACTGATTTTTGACTAGTGCTTTGTTGCAGTGGAACCCTGGTTCTTATAAAGACAATTTAAAAGTGGTCAGTGTGGGCATATCAATATTTATTGAAATACTGAAAAAAAAAAAAATTCCATTGGTGATGAGAAACTCCTGGCAAGAACTGACATGACAATATGTATTTCACCGATACAGTAAGAGAACTTCAACGTCACCAAGTAACTCACTGCACATTCTAAGAGTCGCACGGATTTAAATCCAAGGCAGCTGCAGAACATCTGTAATACAAATAGTCAGACGTTACAGATTGTCTGTTTACAAACACAGAACAACTATAATAAACCAGCCAAAGCCAAAACCTTTGTGTTTTAGTCTGCTTTTACTAATACGTCCTGTAATCAATAAGGCAGTCGTAAGTAAATGTCTGATTACAAAGTAGTTAACAATTAACATGAGTTGGGTTTTTTTTTTTTTTTTGTTCGCAAACTTTGGGCAATCTGCTGGGATTCTTGGAACCACAGATACGGGCCGGCGTATGTTAGTTTGTCTGAAACCGTTTCCATTACGTTGTACGGAAAATTTTGCTTTTCTTTTACGTCCTTGTTTTACTTCTTTTGTCCTGTACGTAGATAACGGTGCCGTGAATTCGGTTAGCAACACGTTTCACTTTAGATTTTTATTCTTTAATATTCAGTGAGGTTCACTGTAGCATTCCAATAGAAATAGGAGAAAAATACAGAATATGAACGCTTGAAATACGTTTTGTTGGTCTTCTGAAAAGGAAAAAAGCATGACCGCACGAGATGGGGGCGGTCGGCGGCGCCGGGAGCGCCAGTGCCCTGCGCGCACGCAGCGTTACAGCTGATCGGCGCGGGCGATTAAAACAACGCGCTTCGGGCTAACGCCGAGGTTAGTGACTGATGTCTTTGGTATGCGATGTGCGAGCGGTTGGGGAAAAGCAATTCAGAGAATGCACCTTTTCAAGTTCACGTGAAACAGAAAAAGCTACAACTCACATAATTTACAATAGATTTAAATAAACTACATTAGGATTATGAAGATTTACAGACATTTAATCAAGTGAATGATTTCAACTGTAAAGACCCTTGTACGTCCCTGAACTATGTTCCACTAACTTGAAGACATGCTACAGTAAACAGATATATTTGGCTTCTTCGTTCTGGCTGTATCTTATATAAAGATGAAACCAAAGAACAATAAATTAGCATCATAATTGTCTACAGTGGAAACTATCATATACAATATAAATAAACTATTCAAAAGCCAGCAATCTTCATGACAAAAAAAAATTAAAGGATTAGGATTTTATACAGTTTCTACAAGTGATTGTGCAGCCGATAATCTCAAAAATTAAAGTCAAAATGAAATCCCCCGTTTGATTTTAGTGTCTCACGACATACAGTAATTAAGTACTGGTAAAATAATTACCAATTTGAAAGCAATATTAAGGAAATCACTGCTTTGCAATTTTATCACAGTTTTTTCCCCACAGGACCTAAAGAATGTAAACACTATGTTTTCTTTATTGTTAGAGATTAATACTTTATTTTAAATGTATGTTGATCCACACCTGCACGGTTACCTTTAAGGATAATGAAATAAGGCAAGACTTTTAGAACTGTGGCACTACATGTTATAATACTGATATCTTCATTTGGACAGAGAGAGAATTGTTTGTTCTTCTCCAATATTTGTTCTGCAGCAGACTTTGGCCTACGTAGACATGGCAGTATCACTCTTCTTTCTTTGTGCAAAAGATCTGTATTAACTAACTTAGAAAAGAATGTTGCATTATACGTTGGACTTTTGAATGGAAATTTATTTTCTTCAGTATTGGCAATTTAAAAATCTTAACAAGCTCCGTCTGTGGTATCATAGCTCATACAGTTGCTTTGTCTCTTCTTGCATAGCTAGTCAACAAATTTCAGTTTTTTTTTTTTTTTAATTAGTATTTGGAGCTCTAGAGAAGTTTGGTTTTTTTTTTTGGTGAAGGACGCTATCCTCTCTGATGGCTAACACATGTTTATTTGGAAACAGCCATGAAGATATAGCAGAGGCGATTTTTAGCCACTGCACTGGCTGAGCATATTGTTGAATTGACTAATTTCTTTTGCAATATTTATCTTTGATGCTTAATAGCCATCCTATAACAGTAAGTAGAAGAGGGATACTGCCTGACTGAACAACATGAACACGTGACAAAACAAACTTTAGAACATAGTAAGAATGCCAAGCTAACTTGTTAACAGACTCTTCATATGACCTTTTTGCAGGCCTGAGAGACAGACATTCAAAACCAGCCTCGTGTGATTTGGTGGCGATACTATATAGCATGTGGCCTACTCCGGCTCTCTCTTGCGGACTGTTGAACGGATGCCACATCGTTTATCACAGAAGAAGTAAGTGTTGGGTCCTTGGAAGGATGGCAGAGGATGCTAGAGACGCAGTTTTGCATCTAGTAGAACTGTTTTACAAGTCCTGCTATACAACGAAGGAATTTAGTGCACTCAAATTCCCCACTATCTTAGCTCAATAATACAGACCAGTTTTTTTCCTAAATTTCTTCATATTGGCAATCAGCAGAGTTAAATATACAAGAATCATTCTGTCCTTTTTCATGTCGACATTGGTGATAGTATCCACTCGTTAAGTTCACTTCACGCCGGTATAAAGTCCTATATAGATTCCTTTGGGGATGTGTAGCATATGATTCACAGTTTGCAATACAAATACCCTGATACATCACTTATTTACTATTAGTATTTGATTATTATACCATTTTGCAAAGTCTTAAAACCACATTTTAATTAGTGTTGCTCGGAGCAGTTCAGAGTATATTTTTTTCCTTGAAAGCAGAAGCTCTAATGGGTATAATTTATGCTCTCTTTGCATGCAGCATCTCAATGAGAAGGTTATTACACGGAACATCCCCGTTCAGGTGTTTGTAGTAGAGGTATTCTTCAGCCTGCATGCTGATGGCCCGGATTTCTGGTAGTCGCAGGAGAAGCTGCCCAAATTTGTCTGTTTGCTGTGGGTAATTACACATTGTGTAGTCCAGCAGAGCAGCATTCACTTGTTCCTGAACACCTTCCACAAGCTGGAAGTTCTCAAGATTTTTGACATCTGAATAATAATAATAAAAAAAAAAAAGTAACAACAGTTGAGTTGCATTTTAATTCCTGTTTACTAAGGCAGAGTTTAATTCCTGTTTCAGTAAATGGTTGTATTTTCTTTTCCTCCTGACAAAAGCATACTTTACAAGCTGCTGAATATTCAGCAAACCCTTTTGCCAGCTTTCCTGGGAAAATGATCACAAAAGAGCTTTAGCAGAGTGTCTGGTTGAAATTCTGCATATACCTCAAATCAATTAGACACCAATGGAGTCTGAGCAAGGTCAGCTCTTTTCATATCTTACAAAAAGAAAGGGTGAGGATTCCTAAAGTAGAAGACCATAATATATTGCTAGCAAATGAGTCCCGAGAGGAAGGCCTATCTTTAACCTAGTATGTTACACAATTCATATAATTCTGTATTAATTTTTCTGACCCAAGGTGAAATCTGTGTCCAGGGTATGATGTAGTTAATTCTAATAAAAAGTGACAGGGTTCTTGTTTCTGTTTGACATTTTCTAAATGATTCTGAAAGCCTCTGACTTGTCTAGCCTATGCTAATGAACCATCTGGTACACTCCAGTGGCTGCCAAAATAATCTCCCCTACTAGAAACTCTCTAAAATATATATTTCACTGACTAATGATCTTTACAAAATGAAATCATTGTCCTTTGGGTGGAATACCAGATAAGAACAGTGCCCTTTAACCTGCATATGGTTTCTGAAATCCAATACACCGATTTTCTTTGATATTGGACGACGGTCATTTACACCAGCAAGGCAGGTACAGTTTGTTCACGCTACCTCTGTTTGATTAGCCTCTGTTCCTACATGGCAACTCCAAGCTTCTTCAGAAATGCTGAAGTCAGAGATAAATGCCAGTATATTAACAACTTCTTATTTGATATACTTTGCAAAATTATTCTGGTGGCGTCTTTCTTTGGTCATGTCTGAAGAATGCAAAAGTTATTCCAAAGCTTGCAAATTAGGGTGCTGCTATAATGCCAAAGGAGTGAAGCGATCAAAGTGCTCTTGCTGGAGAACATGCTTTAGCGGATGTTTGATCATTCATACCGTCAATAGATTACTGTAATTTTCTCATAATGTTAAAGCATGGCAACCCCGAGCAAAACTGCTCTGCTAACTGCCTTTGAATTAAGCTAAATCTGCCCCTTTATGAAGGTTCTTCATAAGGAGCACAGGACCTGGGGAATTTGGCGGAATCTGATTCACTGTAAATTCCAGCATTTAACTGGCAGGGAATTGGATCTTTTTGTTTGTAAACCTGGAACATGCGTTGGTCACCCAGCCCATCGATGGCTTGGGAGGCTGTGCAAATGGGGTCTAACTGCACCTTTTCTAGGAGTGCTTTAAATAGAGTAAACATTGGTTCTTGCACATAATTGTGTGCTGGAGAACTAGGGAAAGGGTTGAAGAAGGCAAGGGACAAGGACAGGGGCAAGGAAGAAAGCCGAGGATCTTGGTGGCGGACCAGAGATCGCTCTGGTACCGCGCACGGCTCCAAGGCTGACTGGCTCTCTGGAGCTGTGCTGGTCATTCGGGAGCCACAGGCACAACCTCACCTGAATTTTGTGATCTAGCCTTAAGGAACTTGCTAGCAATACCTGGATTGCAACAGCTGTCCAAAAGAAGCATCTGAACTTTGCGTTAGTTAGTGTGAGGAGAACTGGAAACTTCAAAGCTGATCTGCCAGCTCCCTGAGCTACTCAAACTCATTTAGCTAAAGTTTTTTGCCAGTGTCTTTGGAGATCTTTGGATAATTGTGTTTTTGTTGCATTATGCTGGACATTTTCTAGCACAAAATATAGCTGTTTTTTTTTTTAATGTAGCTACATAAAATTACCAAGCTATTTTGTAGAGAGTGCAACCTAGTTTACAGTTTGGGTGTTGTAAGCGTATTTTTATAAAGTTCTTAAGAACAGTATCAAACATCACCATTGTTTTAAATAGGTTGCTTCTAGATGAAAAATGCTATCAAGAATGAAAATCAGAAATTCCCACAGACAGAGCAGGGAAACAACAGACAAGTAGTGACTGTGCTGGAGATTAAACTGTGTCAAACAGTACGATAATACACGTAATGATTTTAGAGTTAGTATCTCAATTTTTCTGTTAAAAGTAACTTTGAACATCAGAAAGTTTTAGAAATTGGTAGCTGATTTAAGCCCCATTAAATTGAATAGGCATCTTTCCATTGCTGTCTATCTGCTTTGAATCATGTTCTGAGATTAAACTGTGCTGACTTCTTGGGAGAACAGATTCACTCTCATTTTTGCTCTTGAGTATCTGCAAGGTACCGCATGGGATATATTTTCATTGGCAGCATCACAAAATCAATTCTTACTAGAGATCAAGAAGAAACAAAATCTGAGAATCACAAATTTTCTCCAGTTTCCAGCAAAAGTGGTGAATTCAGATGCATGTTTCAGAGATGCCTTCTGTCTCCACATGCGGCCATATCATAGTCAAGTCAAAAGTAGGCATAATATTTTATTTATATCACCCCCATCTGCATGATCAGCGGTTGCTGGCAGCTGGAGTACCTGTCAGTTGTATAGGTGTTGCTGTGCACTTGTTAGTTAAGTGGCATGGCCGAATTTCATGGAAGCTGCAAAACTAGGGGGGTGGGGGAAGATAACAATGTGGGTTTTTTTCCTCTCACTCCAGTGGAAAGTCCTTTAAATACTCATATACAGCAACAGAAACGCTAAAGTCATATAACAATAACTCCAATTAACAGTAACAGTAAACCTCCGTAATAGTTCTGGGGCCATATCCAGACAGCGAAAATGCTCGTCATGTATTTCCTCTGCATAAATTCCCGATAACTGTAGTGAGGATCAGGTGTTTGTAAACAAGGTGTTATTAGTTAACCACAGTGAAAATATGTTGAATTTTCTTGGCTGTTTCTTTCCTGAATCAAATTACTCATAGTTCAAATGATTATGATTTAAGGCATCATTAGACAATTCATCTGGGTGTCGATCTCTCCAGGTCGCATCAGCAGGACTGTGGCCACAATAGCGGGAAGGCAGAGATTACCTGAGCACCAGTTAGGTCTTTTGGAAGGAAGTCTCTGTGAAGTCACCACGATTTTTGGAAATGCCTTTCGGTAAGTGCTTTCATCCGTCATGCATTAACAACAAATGCTGCAGTACAGCAAATGAGGAAACCCAAAGAGAGAAGTCTGCGGGTCTGTGCTAACTGGAGAACGTTATGTAAAGCTCCGCTGTGATTTCTCAACCTCTCGGGTGATATTTTGTGTATCGTTAAAAAAGGGGATTGACTAACACATAATTGTTATATAAATAATGTAGTTATTTTTGAGAGAGCATCCCAAATTGGTGGGCTAGTTCCAAAGAGGAAGAATAATGAGGGAAAAACATAAAGGCATTGCAAATCTTAAATTATTTTCTAGTAGCTCTGACTCTTGCAGGTAGAGCAAGGAATGCTATACAGTTTTCACTTCTGGTTCTTAGCATTTAGTTGATAATATTACAAATATTATTCAATAATAATTTTGAGTTGTAAGTAGATGTTCTTCCTATGCTTTGGGTTTTTTTCCTCTTGGCATTTATGATATAATGCCTGCTAAAGGCACATGATTTAATTTTCCAAGTATTTCCTTTTGGATAAAGATAGCGCGAACACAAATAAGGTAACTTGGTGAAAGATCAGGTAGTGCTGGTGTAATTCTGCTGAAGTCAGTGGTGTACACAGAGCTTGAAATGCACTAGTGATGTATAGCTCAGCAGTCTTTTGTGCTCTCATCTAATTCTTCATTCTTGCCCGCTTTTTTTGGGTTGACGTGTCTCTTATCAATCTTTACATCGGTTAGTAACAATTTAAAGTACACATGTTTAGGCTTAATGTAAGAAATCAGTTTTCAAGGTTTAGAGGCTTGTAAATTAAATGAGTAGGAATAGGTCTCCCCCTCCCACCCACACACCCTTTAAATCCTAGCAGCTAGAAAAAGTGTTTTGTGTTGCTTCACTAAGTATCAGTCTCTTATCTCTTCTACTTTATTCACTCAGGGACTAATTACCAACTTTTTACATGAAACAGCCTTACTGTGAGCTCACAGTGGGGCGCACATCTTTTTCTATCGTTATTGGAGAGTAAACCCTTAGGTCTTCTGGCATATATAATATGTTTTATGAGAAATAGCAATTGCTTTTCTGTCAAACAAAGAATTTTTGTTCTCTATAGCTTACTTTTGACGATTAAGACAAAAATATTACAGTGTGTCAGTATCTGCTCTGTAGTCACAGTAAAGATCTCCTACTATTCCCACAAATCCCCCAGTTCTGCTTATTTTATACATCTGCTATAAAGCTGTGCTTTAAGCTGAAACTGCATACAACGTTCAGCCCGAGGAGAACACTTTTGCATATTTTTCCCAAAAATGGGTCTGGTCTTTAGAGGGGGAAAATATTTATGTTTCAGAGAGATTTTCTCCCTCTCATATTCTAAACATGAAATACTGAAAATTTGGTGGTGTATTACTCCGTAGAGAGCTTCCCTTGGTCTGGGAATTTTGAAAAGAAAAATGAAAGAGAATGAGAAATTTAAATCTGAAAAACAGTAAGTCCTTAAGAGCAGCATAAATATATTCCATAGAAAGCTGGTCAATTTTTACTACACATCTCATCTATCAGGCGCCCCTTCCAGGATCACGAAAAGCAGCGCGCAGGTGCAGACACAAATCCCATCGTTCTAGCTGCCTCTGTACATTTTGCCCCATCGCAGCTCCTAGTATTGCAAGGATGAATCAAAGTTATGTTTAGGCTTCTCCGTGGGTACCAGTTTCTCAGTTTCACAAGACTGGAAAAAGTCTTATAGATACTTAAGGCAATAAGACTTGATACCAGTGCAGGATCTAGCGTCCTTTCCCCGAAAGGAGGAGTAGGTGTAGGGGTGCGTTGAGCCAGGTTCCACTGAAGGAATATGCAGGACTTTAATAAAATCCACCTGGTCCCTAATGTTTAGCA